TGCATCCTATCTCTCCTTTTGTTGTTCCTGTATCCTCTGCTCCAGATTCTGCTTCCACATTTTAATTTTTCCTTTATGTTGTAATTCCGATATTCTGCTGGCTATTTTATTTTGATTGATTAATTTTGAAATGTTCTCCTCTGAGCCTTGCTTCCAATCCTCATTAGTTTCAGCTGCCGAGTCTGATCTGTGAGCGGCTGTATCCTTTGTTCTAGCATCTTTTTCAGCTCCTGTCTCCAGCCTTCGTTTTCGTCTCTCTGTTGCTTATCAGGACCTAGAAATTCCTGTGCGTTTAGTTCTAGTGTTCCCTCTCAGCCACCATGTTGCCAAGTCTTAGATTTCTCTTGCTGTTGTTCAAGATGCTCTGTAATTTCCTGTATCATCTGTTCTGGGGCCGGCTTCCATAATCTTAGCTTCTCTTTATGTTGTAATTCTGATATTGCAGCCTCTACCTTATTTTGATTTATTAACTTTACTAAATTATTCTCTAGACTCTGTTTTCAAATTTTATCGCTGTCTCTTTGCTGTTCAGTCTGATCTGTGAAATTCTGCATCCTTTGTTCAAACATCCTTTCCAGCTCCTGTCCCCAACCTTCATTTTATCTTGACCTATAAATTCCTGCACTTTTAGTTCCAGCATTTCCTCTAATCCCTTTTCTATACGTGATCTTAGCCAAAAGGCCGAGAAGCGATTCTAATCCCTTTTCTAAGTCTTGTATTTTTTTTTTTTTTATCTAGGGCCCTGTCTTTTAAGAAGACATAGTAAACCAAGATATTCAATATTGTAATAACTATAAGTGACAAGATGTCAATTTCCTTTAAATCCACCCCTGTTGAACCATTCAAAATATCATCCCAGAAAACCCAAAAGGTATTTACTGTGTTTCACTAAGTATCAATCTGCTTCTTTATTATCAATTTATAATTCTTCTTACTTGATCTGAAGCATTTTGTACCTTTGTCTTCCTCCGCTGTTTGATTCAGGACACTGCAGTCCTCTGATTTTTTTATTCGTAGGGAAGGCCTAACTGTAGAGGTGGCTTCTGTGCTTCTCTCTGTCTTTTCTTTGGGTTGCAGCTGGCAGCGTGTGCACTGATCTCAGGCAGACTGCAGTACAAGCAGTCAGGAGAGTGGAGTGTGGGTCTGGCTGTCCCATGTTTAGACGTGGGGACATGGGAAGGCAAACTCAGGTTGATGGCCATGTCAGCCCGCTGTGTCTGTGAAATGACTATGGCCAGCTGCCAAGGTCCCTGTCCCTCCCTAGGATCAGGGAACCCCAACTGTGTTGCAAAACCAGCATTGCCCAAGTCCCAGCTCAGGTTGGGGTGCTGCCTCTGGTTGCCATGGTTTGCCTGGGGCTTGGGGAGGGAGCCTCTCAGCAATTCTCCACAGACCCCTCAGATCCACTGAGTGTTCAAGCCACACATTGCTGCAGCCCCAGATCACCGCTCCAGCTGTTTACTGGGTCTGGGGGTGGGGGTGAACTTTTATCTCAGGTTAGCTGGGTTCTGAGCGAGAGATATGTTGGTGGGCCAATTTGTTGGAGTAATTTCCAACCCCAGTAAGCCCATATAAAAACCACACAACCGGGGCCGGGCAGTGGTGGCGCACGCCTGTAATCCCAGCACTTGGGAGGCAGAGGCAGGCGGATTTCTGAGTTCGAGGCCAGCCTGGTCTACAGAGTGAGTTCCAGGATGGCCAGGGCTACACAGAGAAACCCTGTCTCAAAAACCAAAAAAAAAAAAAAACCACACAACCGGGCTGGAGAGATGGCTCAGCGGTTAAGAGTACTGGCTGCTCTTCCAGAGATCCTGAGTTCAATTCCCAGCAACCAAGTGGTGGCTCACAACCATCTGTAATGGGATCCAATGCCCTCTTCTGGCCTGCAGGATACATGCAAGCAGAATACTGTATATATAATAAATCAATAAATCTTAAAAAAAACAACCCACAGCCCAGTTATTATATTTATAAGCTATATACCTAGATTGGGCAGATCTATCATTATCCTGACTTATTCCCCATCTATGAGTGCTTTGCTATTTGCAGTTTTTCCTGGCCATGTGGTTCTGTTCTTTGTTGGACTCTACCCCTTCTTCCTCCATCCTCTCTCCTTTCTCCTCTCCTTCTCCCTTGTCCCCCACCTGCCCCCACTTTCTAAGACCTCCAGCCCCACCTTTCCCTTCACTGCCCAATCACAGGCTCTAGCCTTTATTTGACAAGTTAGAATGGGAAGAAGGTTCACAAGAGAGAAGCAGAATTAACATCAGAATACAAACAGCAAGCCGGGCAGTGGTGGCGCATGCCTTTAATCCCAGCACTTGGGAGGCAGAGGCAGGCGGATCTCTGAGTTCGAGAGTTCGAGGCTAGCCTGGTCTACAGAGTGAGTTCCAGGACAGCCAGGGCTACACAGAGAAACCCTGTCTTGAAAAACAAAAAAAAAAAAAAAACAAAGAAAACAGAATACAAACAGCAGCCAGGCAGTGGTGGCGCACGCCTTTAATCCCAGCACTGGCAGGCGGATTTCTGAGTTCGAGGCCAGCCTGGTCTACAGAGTGAGTTCCAGGACAGCCAGGGCTACACAGAGAAACCCTGTCTCAAAAAACCAAAAAAAAAAAAAAAAAAAAAAAATCAGCACCAGGTCAGCCCACAACCTTTCCCCCTTTTGTCCAATTAAAAGGCTCTTTTCGCCGGGCAGTGGTGGCGCACGCCTTTAATCCCAGCACTTGGGAGGCAGAGGCAGGTGGATTTCTGAGTTTGAGGCCAGCCTGGTCTACAGAGTGAGTTCCAGGACAGCCAGGGCTACACAGAGAAACCCTGTCTCAAAAAAAAAAAAAAAAAAA